ACTTGTCCCCTGTTTAATATCAGGGTTTATCCTTCATTATTTCATCGAAATACAAGCTGTCTGTACCGCTCTGGATTCATTAGCGCAGAGCCAAATTCAAGGACATTCGGAAGTGACTCAAGCTCAAAATCACAGCAGACACAGGACAATGCTCCCACAAAGACATTTGTAATGTAGTTAGTTCTGCAGAATTCATTCATTTCTTGCCCTAAGTTTCGTTTAATGACATCACAGAAAAAGGTTCCATCAAAAATACTCCGTAACCTTTTTGAGTAATCGCCGGTAGGAGAGACCAATCTAATAGCAATACAAAATTACATTGACCTTCCTTCCGCAAAAGCAAATTTAACTGCTTAAAGTAGTTACACGTGTCACTGACCGATCTGACTTAAGTCAACCACAAAAAAAAAATGTGTTGTTGAAGCTCCTTTAAGGCCAAGGACTAAAACAGATGTAAGAAATCTAAGTGTTTTGTTATTGAATTTTATTGTATTCAGTTTTCCTCTTTGTCAGTGGTGAAGCTAAAATTAGCAATTTGCTACAGTTGCCCACAACTGTGTCAACTGTGTCATGGTTTTTCCTGAGTGCCACTCTACAGCTACATGTAGAACTTTCAAACCTAATGTAGAACTTTATTTAATAAAAACATTGCAGGAGTGCATCCTGAATTGTGTTACAGTTTACATGTACAGCAGTCTAAAATAAAGATCACTTCAGCATCAACAGATTAACAGTAAAATGTGATCAGCCATCCCTAAAATATGGTACTCATGATGTAGTGATATGAATATACACATTTAGAAAAACAGTCATACAAGTTAACATACAAATACACTACAAACTCTGAGGTAATACATGTACTTAACATGCAAATACTCTGCAGAAGTAAGAGTTTGAAACTCAATTTTCTAAGCTAATGCCTGCAGTCATCTGTGACTAATTCCAGACAGTTGCAGCAGCCTGTGGCTGGATAGTGTGACATCACCCTGATGATGTCAATCAGAAATTTTGGCAGGACTGGTTTCCTGGTAAAGTAAGATGATATGCAAACAGGCTGGTATGATGGAACTGTTATTTCCACAGGGCCACCACCTGCAAATTGAGCAAGGATTGCCAATATATCACGCCGGACAAGCCTTGGTGTGTAACTGAGGGAGTCACCTTGGCTCTGGTGGACTTCAGCAATTCAGTTGCGTGGAGCGAGTCACGTAGTCAGTCACGCCTCAAAAATAACTGCATTACCTAACACCTCATAATAAAACTAACCTGTGTGTCATACTAGTAGCTTTGGATCAGCACTTACATTTGTATATGATACATGTGATTCAGTACTGTTTATATGTGAGTGCTTTTGAGCCATATATACACTTACACTAAAGCTGGCACAGCACTGTGATTTGTACATATTACATAGATTTGCTATTATAGCTAAGCACGATCAGATACGGTACACATTTTTATTCTTAATTATACCAGTATCATTCATTATAACACTGGTCATCTTAATTTAGGAAAGTCACTGGCCATTTTTAGGGTCCCACTATTTATTTTGCAGAAAATTCACTATGCGGGCAAGAAACAAACCTGACTTTCTTTAGCTTAATATCATTAATGTAACTGCAAATTTGGGGCAAATTCTTTTCTTTTTCAAATCAGAAAAAAATGTACCAGGAATTCAATAACTGAAAGATTACATTAGTGTGGCCTACTGATTAGCAAGCTATCTAATTGTAGGTCTGCAATAATTGCTATTGACTTGTATTTCAGTAGCAAATTTGTCTGACTTCCATCATCAAATTTAGCCATGAAGTCTCCAACCATGATTGCATGAAAACAACAGGATTACACTGGAGACTCTATACAGGATACAAGCCTCATTAGTAACAGACATGGCCTGCTGCATAGTTAAGCTCGATTACAGTTACATTAACTTCAGATTGACCACTTACTTCAGCCTCATCAGACTGGAGACAAGGTAAATTTCCTTAAAGGAAGGACGGCTCATCAGCTGTGACATGGATCACTTCTGAGGTTAATCTGTTCAGAACAACCCTAACCAGATTGGAGCATGGCAGGGTTACATGGCCCGAATCATCTCATATTATACATCTGATTCTTCTGTGTCTACCACAAATACAAACAGACATTCAAGCAAACTGATACCTGACATGTATACAAGGAAGATAAATATTAAATATGATAAATGTTCATTGCTACATACATTGTACACTTTGACAATTTTTGATCACATAAACAAGTCCAGATTAATATAATATATATTAAGAAACCATCATAAAACCAAACTGTAGACTCTAAAAATAAGCAAAAGCCTGTCCCAAGAATTTTAATGTTTCTATATCTTTGCTGCTAAGGTTAAAAATAAAGGACCTACCCTGTAACGAACATGTTTCCTCGAGTCATAGAACATGCGTATTGTAGGGCATAACACACATGTATACCATAGTCAAACATAGCGTAATAAAGATGCTGACCTATACCTATTGCGACATTGTAGTAATTGGATGGATGACTTTCACATGAATCACATCATTGTATGAAGCAGAGCATTGAGAGAGTAAGTGGGTGAACTCAGCTAACCATACTAAGCATTACCCTCACAATCGTCCCAGCGATGACTAAATGTCTTTATATTGAAGGTGACATTGGTAAGATTAATGACTAACCACGGGTACATTGAGTTGTTTGTGTGGATATGGGATGTGCTTTCTGCACTGAGGAAATGGATTCTAATCAAAATAAAAACAAATAAATAATTAACAGGCAATGGATAGACTAATTCATCAACGAGTACCATAAACATGTAGGAAGGGGGCTGTGCAAAACTGGAAAAGATCTACAACAGTTGATATCAATGAACAGTAATATGTACTAATTCCATTTTGATAAGAGAGTTGACTGAAAAAAAGAAAACAATAGGAGATTACAGATTATTGACATTGCCCTAACAAGAACACTCCATGGGACTTTTTGCCTGTGGTTCCTCTAGATCTCCCAATCCTATCAATCTTGTAAACATGTAAATATCACATAAATGATATATACATGCCATTAGGTCAGTGATAAATCAAATTATCAAAGGGCTAACCAGTCCTGTCTGAATAGCACTGAGTCAAAGTATCGATTAAAGAAAAACATTAAAATCTGTGAACTGACAGCCAAAATTTTGGGGTAAGTCCCAATTCATTGTAGTGTTGGCAGTTAAAGTTTAGTCTCTATATCATAATGACTTGTACACAGATGAACTTAAGAAAAACATTAAAATCTGTGAATTGACGGGGTCAGCCAAAAATTTGGGGTAAGTCCCAATTCATTGTAGTGTTGGCAGTTAAAGTTTACTCTCTATTTCATAATGACTTGTACACAGATGAACTTTAGAAAAACATTAAAATCTGTGAATTGACGGGGTCAGCCAAAATTTTAGGGTAAGTCCCAATTCATTGTAGCATTGGCAGTTAAAGTTTAGTCTCTATTTCATAATGACTTGTACACAGATGAAGTTTCATGCTAAAACATCAAGTTGTTGATGTCAGGGGTAGTTGTACCATTCATCCCATTTGAGAAAACATTTTTGTATTTGAACAAAGTGAATGAACCATTGTACATTAACAAGACTGAACCTAAAACAGAGATATGCTGCTGCTAGAATCATCCATCAGAGAAGGGCTCTTCCCAAATCTGTGACGTGTTCTTCCTACAACCATCCATCATTCAAAATTACATGGGCAAACAACATTAATCTTACCTGACAGTTACTCTCAAAATTGAATTAAAAAATACTCCATGCTGATTAGTTTTTCCATGATTAAATATTAGTGGCCCGCCCCTATGATGTTTTCTGTCTTCCTCCCCAGTTGAAGGGGCTGTGATGAAGAAAACTTTTCTGATATTTCATATCTTTCAGAAATTTTCCTCATTCTACGTGCATTCCCATGATAGTAAGGTGCTAAAGAAATGAGCAACGGTATACAGGTCAAATCCATGGCATGGGATAAACACAAAACAGCTCGAAAGCTATGTTAAACAATGCGGTCACAGAAAAAAAGTGACTATGTTTCAATGACACACATTTAACAAGAGCGTTCTGGTTTCTGTTGCAATAGACATGAAGTGAACTCCAGAAATACATCCAACATTCAGCTTAAAATGTTTAAGATCAAGTACCAGTATTCTTCAAAAGAGTGCAGTCATCATATGATTTGCAAGGCTGATTGACTCAGAGTTTGCTACAAACACCCTACAATAAGGCAAAATATGACGGTAACACTTATGACTCCAGTAAGCAAAGTTGACGTGGATAATAAAACAATTACAAACTAAACAAATTAACTCTCCCCCTAGAGGACAAGTGGCAAATTACTCTCGCTCCCTGCTTTGGCAACCTGATCAAAATAATGACATTAAGAAGTCATTTTCCATAAAAATGCACATTTGCACCCATCACTTTATCTCCTAGATAGCATTTTCTCATTCCTGTGGGGAGGAACTTCAATCAGCCTTATCGGTGTCTGGGGACGTGTGTCGGAATGGTTTCCTTCAACAAGTTTTATGCTGTGTGTTGTGATCACTAACAGCAATCTCAACAAGCACCTATTTACTACTACTATAATACTACTTAGTATCAAAGTATCAGGGCAGCACAAAGTATCAGGGCAGCACATGAATGAAGAATTTGCACATTGAGTCTAGAAGACTGGCAACTTCTGTATCTGTATCGCCAGTATAACCACCCATCAGCATAACATACCAACTTTGCAGGCACGCGGCGCAGCAGCAGCTAGCTATATTGCACCAAACAACTTGTTACACATACATGTAGCCTTTGAACATCTACCTCTAAACATTGTTTATGATGCCCCTCACTTAGTGGCAGCGAGCTCCACTCCATAATGTACATTAGTTTTAGGAAAAGTTGAGAATATAAACCTTAGTTGATTTCCACAATGTGTCATATTGCCTGGGTATAACAATGTAAAACTTACCTTGTCATGTTCCTTTACGTTGACGTATGTTGCACAGAGAATCTTTATTCTGAGCGGACTCTGGATGTCGTAGATACAGCGGATCTGGGCCGTGCCGTTGGAGGGATTGAGAACGGCGCTGGACCCCCTGCGAGCGTAGGACGGCAGATGGAATGTGGACTCTGGCAGCGAGGCGTACACTACCTCTTTGGACATCAACATCAGGTTGGGAAATCTGGTTCTCGACAGGCACATTCGAATGTACTGTAAACAAACAAACAATAAATGCATCAAAGTTTGAAATTTGCTACATGAATCTTCTAAATGTACCCATGTGGAATTTTCTTCAAACCATTAAAGCCTCTACCTAACTACCAAACTTCTATCAAAATTCTGACTTCAAACACTACAGTGCCAAGATGCCTAACTTTTTGACAGGCTGCAATACAAAGATTATGTGCTAGGTGGCTCTGGTAGACAGTGATAGCCAGCAATAATGACAAAGAGTTGATCCTACAAGAGTTGATCCTACCTTATACTGTATGATGGGATATCTGCCCAGCATATACTCCTCAGCTCCGCACACTTTCAGTACATAGCTGTTCTGGTACTCTTCTATACACTGCTGCTGCTGCTCGGGGGTCAATCCCATGGTTCTCGTCTTCTTCCTGATTGGACAGAGCCACGAGTGCAAAGGTCAACATGTAACCTGTGACTAGCTGTGGTGAAAATTGAGTGAGTGAGTTTGGTAAGTGAGAGTGAATGAGTGAGTGAGTGAGTGAGTGAGTGTGAGTGAGTGAGTGAGTGAGTGAGTGAGTGAGTGAGTGTGAGTGAGTGAGTGAGTGAGTGAGTGAGTGAGTGAGTGAGTGAGTGAGTGAGTGAGTGAGTGAGTGAGTGAGTGAGTGAGTGAGTGAGCGAGCGGACACATAGCTCTGCCATAGCAACCTGAAAATGCACAAGGGGCAGCACGCAAAGATGTCATTGGATTACAATGGACATCCAAGACATAGTTGAAGTTTAGTCGGTTTTGCAGACTTAACATACTTACTTTATTGCCCCTGCAATGACATCTTCAGGTAGAGACGTCTTGGAGACTTTGACTGTGTACTTCTGTCTCTCGTTGTCTCTTGTTAACACCCAGATCGCCACAATAATGTGCCCTGGGGAATAAAGACATCCAAAAACGTTACATGTTGATTTGAAAGGGCCATTAGCACTGTAAACCTTGACTAGGTAAAGCATTCCTACAATCTCATATTGCAGTATTAAAGGTACAGTTACCTATGCCACCACTACATAACACATTTACTAAGCAGGGCTCAAAATATGCTTACTGCATACCTATTACTGTAGGTAAAATTAGAACTGTGTAGAGGTATTCCTGATGTCTACCTGGATCAGTTACATGTATAACCTGCAGTGGTCCAAGATAATACCAACCTGGGACAAACAGTCACATACCCTCAAAATCTTCAAAGCACTGTTTTATGATGTACTAAGGGGGGAAAGCTGCGAGTAATTTTTTTTCTGGAGCAGGTTACTCTTTATTTCATCTGCACCAGATAGTTCAGGTACCGTAGCTAGAAAAAAAATATTTCAAACCCTGAACCTATTGTACTGTACCTATGTCCAGTTTAGCATCCAGGTTTCTTGGGAGAGAGGGGTCAGTCTCTATGATGGGAGGGTAGACGTAGAGAGACTGGCCGGTCAAGCCGTCACTGTCCCTCTCCTGGACCGACTGCAGACAGGTGGTCAGGATGTTCCTACGGAAGTCCATCACCTCAGGGTCCTTCACTGTGCCGAATTCTGTCACAGGCATGCTTATAGCAAGACCTGGGGAAAACACAAAACATCATAATTTGTATCAGGGCTTGATTACTAAGGGTAAGCAACTGAAGTCCCTTACAGAAGTAACACATTTACACCTGAGTCAAGTGACAAAATATGTGTTAAGTGTCTTTCCCAAGGACACAACAGTTTTGCGTGCCTTAGATGCCCAGAAACTTCAGATTCTGAATGAAGAACCCTAAACACAAGACCACCTTGCCCCTTTCCACATATTTTCAGTCCCCAAAACTTTCAACTCACTACTTTACTCTGACAAAAGGAGAGGGTAATAGATTTCCTAGACTTCTTTTCTGCCATTTTTGCGGTTTCCTTCCAAGAGGATGCTAATGTAACTTGGCCTACCAAATTTCTTATCCTGCTTTCACACAGACTAGAAATTTTGTGGACAATAGTAACAAGGAAGGCTATGTTCTAACTTCATCTAAGGAAAGTTTATCATAAAAGAGTTCAACTGTTAATGCTGTTGTTCTATGAAAAAAATTATGGAATTCTCACTTATTTCTGAGTTGAGTATTTTCTCCTCCCTGTTACCCCTGGGTTCCGTGACCTTCAGCCATGGTTGGAAGAGTCTAAGGTCACAAAATCTCCTGGTCTCATCGTAAAACTCTTCCTTTTCTGCCTCCTGAGGGGTACAACAGTAAAATACAGATACGTTAGCATCATGTTGTCTGTATTTTCTACTTCCTACAAGCAGTTTTTTTTCTTATTCTTCCTCTTTTATAATGTTAACCTTCATGTTTAATCTTACCACTGGCTCATGTTCTGGTCAATGGCAAGAATTTTTTTTAATGTTAGGAAGTGATTGGTCATTAATCATCCTGATGAAGGCAACAGTGGTTGTTGAAAATTTGATCCTCTGTGTTGGAATAAAGTTTTACAATTATCACTACCAACACAAATATACCAGATGCACTCACCTGTGTAATACTGATAAATATGTACATAGTCTCATCCTGCAGCTTGTGGAAGAGAGGGTATTTCCTGGCCTCTCGCCAAAGGTCTCCTTTGATGTGCTCCAGCGTGGCTTCCCGTGGAACGTCCAGAGTGATCATAATCCCAGTCGGTAGGAGACAGTCTACTGGCACCTGGGTTCATCAAAAATCAAACTTGGATGCCATGAAGAACAACATTACTGCCTGTATTTGCTGCCAAGTGTATGATCAGTATGTGTGTAGCATCCCAGGTATACACCCACTAGATATACAAGAGTGCATCACACTGGGGAATGCTGCATTGAAGATCTCTTCAGATGCACTTTTCAGACTCAGAGTGGCAGAGTTGTGAAGCTCAGAGAAACACTGAAATATAAGCTAACGACTTACTGTAATTCCTGACTTTTTCAGGGTACTTAATGATCAAGTTTTTCACTTCTGTATTGTGAACTAATCATTACTGTTCACACCAACCTAAAGTTAGCCCTCCTTTCGGCCTTCGATTCCCCAGCCTTCGATTGAGCCTTCGATTCGAATGGTAGGCACTATTTCGGATACGTCTCAGGCGCGGAAGCATTCTACTGTCCCATATATGCAAATGAGCACGCATACAGTATGTAAATAGACATTGCACATACGTATGTCAAACCAAACCACAACCTTTCAGACTCTGTATTCATTTGATTAAATAATCTTCTAATCTTTAACTACCAAATGAGTTTTAATAATCTTTAAGTGGTCGATACTATCGAAATGAATCAACGCACATGGATTCATCTTCACGTCAAAGATTCAAGAATGCCGTCCAGGACCGCACCCGACATGTTTCAATTAGACGCCTTGTTGCAAAGTAACGAAATAATTTTCTGTATTCAAATGTTTTTAACAATCTTTTAGCGGTCTATACCATCAGATAAAACTGATAAAACTAACGTACATTACGAAGTTTAGACGTCATGACGTCATAGATTAAACAATACGGATTTTCGAGGATCGCAACACTAGTGGATGCATAGAGAATTAACGCCATGTTGCAAAGTAACGGAATAATTTCTAGAAACCAAATGTCTTTTAAAAATTCTCAAGAGGTCCATACCACAAAATTCGACTGATAAAACCAACGCACATTGCGTCATTTGGACGTCATGACGTCATATATTCAACCATACAGATTTCTAGGGCCAGAATCCCTGTTTATATAATTATATTCAACTACTCCTAGCTAATTAACGAAATAATTCTTAGTTTTTAAATCAATTTTAACAGTCTTTTAAAGGTCCATACCATCAAATAAAACTGATAAAACTAACGCACATTGCGTCGGTTTGACGTCATGACGTCATAGATTCAACCAAACATATTTCTAGGGCCAGAATCCCTGTTTATATAATGATATTTAACTACTCTTAGGTATTTAACGAAATAATTCTTAGTTTTCAAATCAACTTTAACAATCTTTTAAAGGTCCATACCATCAAATAAAACTGATACATCTAACGCACATTGCGTCGTTTGGACGTCATGACGTCATAAATTGAACTAAACAGATTTCTAGGGCCAGAATCCCTGTTTGTATGATATTCAACTACTCGTACCTAATTAACGAAATAACTTTTAGTTCTCAAATCAATTTAAACAATCTTTTAGAGGTCCATACCACCAAATAAAATTGATACAACTAACGCACATTGCGTAGATTTTATGTCATGACGTCATAGATCCAACACTCAATATTCGATATTCAGTATTCAACTCAATATTTAACTTAACTACTCGTAGCTAATTAACAAAATAATAATTAGTTCTCAAATCAATTTTAACAGTCGTCTGGAGATCCATATCACTAAATAAAACTGATAAAACTAACGCACATAGCGTCGTTTGGACGTCATGACGTCATAGATTCAGCAACCAAACAGATTTCTAGGGCCAGAATCCCTGTTTATATAATGATATTTAACTACTCAAACCTAATTAACGAAATAATTCTTAGTTCTCAAATCAACTTTAACAATCTTTTAGAGGTCCATACCATCAAATAGAACTGATAAAACTAACGCACATTGCGTCGTTTGGACATCATGACGTCATGGATTCAACCATACAGATTTGTAGGGCCTGCATCCTATGTATATAATGATATTCAACTACTCGTACCTAATTAACGAAATAACTTTTCGTTCTCAAATCAATTTTAACAATCTTTTAGAGGTCCATACCATCAAATAAAACTGATACAACTAACGCACATTGCGTCGTCTGGACGTCATGTCGTCATAGATCCAACACTCGATATTCGATATTCAGTATTCAACTCAATATTCAACGTAACTACTCGTAGCTAATTAACGAAATAATTTTAAGTTTTCAAATCAATTTTAACAGTCTTTTAAAGGTCCATACCATCAAATAAAACTGATAAAACTAACGCACATTGCGTCGTTTGGACGTCATGACGTCATAGATTCAACCATACAGATTTGTAGGGCCTGAATCCCTGTTCATATAATGATATTCAACTACTCGTACCTAATTAACGAAATAATTTTCAGTTTTCAACTCACTTTTAACAATCTTTTAGAGGTCAATACCACTTAATAAAACTGATAAAACTAACGCACATTGCGTCGTTTTGACGCTATGACGTCATGGATTCAACCATACAGATTTCTAGGGCCTGAATCCCTGTTTATATAATGATTTTCAACTACTCGTACCTAATTAACGAAATAATTTTTAGTTCTCAAATCAATTTTAGCAATCTTTTAGAGGTCTATTTCATCAAAAAAAACTGATAAATCTAACGCACATTGCGTCGCTTTGGCGTCATAGATTCAACCATACAGAGTTGTAGGGCCAGAATCCCTGTTTATATAATGATATTCAACTACTCGTACCTAATTAACGAAATAATTTTCAGTTCTCAAATCAATTTTAACAATCTTTTAGAGGTCCATACCATCAAATAAAACTGATACAACTAACGCACATTGCGTCGTTTGGACGTCATGTCGTCATAGATCCAACACTCGATATTCGATATTCAGTATTCAACTCAACATTCAATTTAACTACTCGTAGCTAATTAACGAAATAATTTTAAGTTTTCAAATCAATTTTAACAGTCTTTTAAAGGTCCATACCATCAAATAAAACTGATAAAACTAACGCACATTGCGTCGTTTGGACGTCATGACGTCATAGATTCAACCATACAGATTTTTAGGGCCTGAATCCCTGTTTATATAATGATTTTCAACTACTCGTACCTAATTAACGAAATAATTTTTAGTTTTCAACTCACTTTTAACAATCTTTTAGAGGTCAATACCACTTAATAAAACTGATAAAACTAACGCACATTGCGTCGTTTTGACGCTATGACGTCATGGATTCAACCATACAGATTTCTAGGGCCTGCATCCCTGTTTATATAATTATATTCAACTACTCGTACCTAATTAACAAAATAATTTTTAGTTCTCAAATGAATTTAGCAATCATTTATAGGTCCATAGCATCAACCAAAACTGAGAAATCTAACGCACATTGCGTCGTTTTGACGTCATGTATTCAACCATAGAGATTTGTGGGGCCTGAATCCCTGTTTATATAATGATATTCAACTACTCGTACCTAATTAACGAAATGATTTTTATTTTTAAATCAATTTTAACAATTTCTAAAGGTCCAAACCATCAAATAAAAATGACGTCGAAACTTCGCAATGTGCGTTAGTTTTATTTGTTGAATCGGAAAGTGTAGATAACTTAAGACTTGTTAAAGGTTATTTGATTACTAAAAATTATTTCGTTACTTTGCTACAAGGCGTTAAATACTAGTATTATTAAATACAATTCGAATGCGGTCCTGCAAATCTGTATTGTTGGATCTATGACGTCATGACGTCGAAACTTCGCAATGTGCGTTAGTTTTTTTTGTTGAATCGGCTAGTGTAGATAACTTAAGACTTGTTAAAAGTTATTTGATTACTAAAAATTACATCGTTACTTTGCTACAAGGCGTTAAATACTAGTATTATTAAATACAATTCGAATGCGGTCCTGCAAATCTATATTGTTGGATCTATAAAGTCATGACGTCAAAACGACACAATGTGCGTTAGTTTTATTAGTTTTTTTTATGGTATGGACCTCTAAAAGATTGTTAAAAACCACTTGAATACTTAAAATTATTTCGTTACTTTGCTACAACGCGTCAAATATAATTAAATAGACCGCGGTTGCGGTTCTGCATGACATGACATGACATGACGGTATGACATGACGTCAAAACGACGCAATGTGCGTTAGTTGTATCAGTTTTATTTAGTGGTATGAACCTCTTAAAGATTGTTAAAAGTGATTTGAGAACCAAAAATTATTTCGTTAATTCGGTACGAGTAATTGAATATCATTATATATACAGGGATTAAGGCCCTACAAATCTGTATGGTTGAATCCATGACGTCATAGCGTCCAAACGACGCAATGTGCGTTAGTTTCATCAGTTCTATTTGATGGTATGGACCTCTAAAAGATTGTTTAAAATGATTTCAAAACTTAAAATTATTTCGTTAATTCGGTACGAGTAGTTGAATATCATTATATAAACAGGGATTCAGGCCCTACAAATCTGTATGGTTGAATCCATGACGTCATAGCGTCAAAACGGCGCAATGTGCGTTAGTTTTATCTGTTTTATTTGGTGGTATGGACCTCTAAAAGATTGTTTAAAATGATTTGAAAACTTAAAATTATTTCGTTAATTAGCTACGAGTAGTTGAATACATGTATCATCATATAAACAGGGATTCTGGCCCTACGAATCTGTATGGTTGAATCCATGACGTCATAGCGTCAAAACTACAAAATGTGTGTTAGTTTTATTAGTTGAATCTTATAGTTTGAACCTTTCAAAGATTTGTAAAAGATTTTCCGTTATTAAAAATTATTTCGATACTTTGCAAGAAGGCGTCGGATTGAAACATGTTGGGTGCGCTTCTCGACGGCATTCTTGAATCTTTGACGTGAAGATAAATCCATGTGCGTTGATTTAATTAATTTAATTCGATAGTATTAACCACTTAAATATTATAAAGACTCATTTGGTTGTTGAAAATTAGACGATTATTTAATCAAATGAATACAGAGTCTGAAAGGTTGTGGTTTGGTTTGACATACGTACGTGGAATGTCTATTTACATACTGTATGCGTGCTCATTTGCATATGTGGGACAGTAGAATGCTTCCGCGCCTTAGACGTATCCGAAATAGTGCCTACCATTCGAATCGAAGGCTCAATCGAAGGTTGCGAATCGAAGGCCGAAAGGAGGGCTAACTTTAATGTGGTCTGTTCACAAATAATTCCTCGACTTTCTTTTTCCTGCACCTGTCGCCACCACGAATATATAGTTCTGGGAAAATGTCCACTTTTCCCAGACAGTGACATTTTGCTGAAGTGAACAGAAGTGAATTACAGTACCTTTGGGGGCATGAGGTGCATCCCCCATAGTTCTCCTGATGAGGGTGGCATGGTGTAGTCTGGTTGTCTGTGGTGCTGGCTGTCTCTAGCAGATGTCAGGTGTTGTCTCTGCCCAAGTTCCCTCCTGCGTCATCCGCATAGCCTGCCTCTTACTGCCGAGTCCACATCTGTAGCCAACACGTGAGACAACAGGTCAAGAATAGATACTACACGTGTATGTACCGCAGGCTACTCTTACCTACGCATGACAGCATGTTTCTCACGTCACACCTTGCAGATGTTTCCATGGATGCAGATGCAGAACCAATACTAGATGACGATATTACGGAAAGCAGCAACTAATCATTTGTTGTTACCATCATAGAAAGAAGATCTGTCACGCTGAGAACAGAATTAAAATCCTATTTTGGGCTTTGTTTGGAGGGACTTCTCTCAATCTCTGTCGCAATAAATCATTGTCCAATCAGAATGATTGACAGCTCATCACCATGGAAACCTGTATGAACAGGCAGAATGTTTATTCCCACTCGCGGCCAGTCACCCTGATAATTATGCTGAAGGGCAGAAAGGGCAGATTTAACAAAGCAGGATGTACATCATTAAAGACCAAACCAGGAAGGACGGTGCAACAGTGGAAGATATTAACGAACTCAACAGTTAATGCATTACTCGGTCAATTTTCTTACAAGTAGATTATAAAATTCAGGCAGCTTTTTGTAAGATTCTACGAAGAATTCTAGAGTCTAGAATTCTTCGTAGAATCTTACAAAAAGCTGTCTGAATTTTATATAGTCTTCCTGTTGTCTTTTTTTTCTCAAATACAAAACTCAATCATGGTCAATCTCTAATTGTCTTGGCAATTAATAACAAATATTGAAATAAATGATGAATTTTGCTATGTGGCTGTTTCTTTGACATTTGAAGGGTTTTGCTGAATAATAGTAAACTACAGTAAATATTGTGTTTATAGCATTTGTATTTACAAATAGCTAATGATTACAACATGTGGTACATTAATGGTATGTGTACATGATGAACATAAGACTTCAAGATATACGTACACATTTGACTTTAGCTACTATAACATGATCAAAGTCAATGTAGTAGATATTGTGCACATCTGAATAACTGAATGAATGATTCAATGAATGCAATCTATCCTATAAGTATAACATTAACAATGATTAAAACAGTCTGCATCTCACAGCATCTGACTCACCTATTCAACCTGATGTTGTCAATGGAGCTTATTCTCTTCAAGTTATTGAAGGAAATATTTCCTTACAGTTTCTGTCTACCTTGTTTTGCCAAACGCTTGAATGCGACAAACGGTACACAGGCCCAGATGTTGTTTGTTTGGCACGAGTATCAGCTCTTCAACAATCAAGTGTGTAGCAACAGGTTTCAACTGAATCACCAGCTGGCCTCACCTCTACTACTGTAGTACAGCAAACAATATTATAGATCCACTGCTTTGAAGATGGCTTCATTCAGATTCTGAATGTGTGGTACGTGCGGAACGTGTATGGTTTTTAGCATCTAAATGTCAAGATGCCCTACTCAAACCCACATAAGGGTCAGCACAGTACACAAAAGAGTACAGGTACAGTAAATGAATTCATGTATTAGTTTACATATTACAAAATTCACAGCGCATAAATTTTGCAGCAAGGTGAAAATTAAGACTTTGCAGTTTATCCACTGTAGTAATTCAATTCATAAGACCATGTGTTCAAGAAATAATATGCTTGTGAAAATTGGGAATATACGACTATTGTGAATATTTCAGGAGTTACAGTATGTGGGAAAATACCCGAGGGGTCAGTTATTCCATACCTGTTGACAGTTCCAAAAGATCAGCACTCCAAATCCAGAAATGTTATGACGGACTTCCTACATTCAATTGTATATATGGCAATGACACAATTAGCCAAGTTACGTTTGCTCCTTGTATTAAAGTACATCTCCTATATGGAAATGCCACTTAACAAATATATAATGTGGATACATCTGATTAATATGAGTTTTTTTTTCTTTCAAGTCTGAATTTGTCAGTCAGTTCAGTCAACTACAGTGCAATCGAACAACTTGAAATTTTTTAAGCATGTTTCTTTCTTCTTCAAATTCCATAGAATTTGAGCGGGTAAACAAAGTACTTCAACTTAATGCACAAGAATTAGAATCCTTGTAAACAATGTACTTCAACCTCAGTTCCAGCCGTATCTGCCACTGACATATAGGAAACATGTATTGACACAGTGACCAGGACGTACATTTAGGTGCACTGAAATGTCCTTCTCCAGTCCATAATGAAAAATTTCTTTCATTTGTCATCCACATGGAATGGTTCTTACTTGCTTCCTTACACACCTACCTATGACTCAAGTCAAGGGCCATTTTTCTGCCCTTACTTGAACCAGGTGGTTTCACCTGTTCTATATCAACTAAAAGATTATACAATGTAGCAAGTTTCTCTATAAATGTCATATAAAATCAACAAGGCTTTTTATACTGGCAATAAAATGGCTTACCAGTTGAGTTATTTTCTTCTTTTTGCAATGGTCTTCTCCTAACTGTATGAATCTGCTGGTCTGACCAGTGTTTCTAGTACATGCTACAACTACAGGTCAATAACCTACAGTAATACAATACTTCGTGGCAATGGCCAGGAGTGCCCTCTAGGCTCTCTAGATCTGGGAGGTTTCAGGCTTACTGAGGATAGGTTTCACTGGATTGTCAGCTGCTCTGACATGTTTGGATCAGGGCAAATTTAGACGTATGTAAATACAACCTTGCAGTTATTGGGCTTAACATGTACATGTACAGAGTTCACACGTTCAGTTCAGTTCACGTCCTCCTATATGTACAGAGTACTTATACATATACATACTACTGGGAGCTCAATATCTATACCTTTTGATAAGCAAACTATAAGTTACTCAACTGTATATTTGCGCCAGGGTTGTTACCATTGACATATTCCGTGTGTCTGCCAATTCTGCAGTAGGCAAGCCAAATGTTAGTAATTATACTTTTTATAGTGTTGCTGTGGTTTTCCTGTTTTCAAAGCACACTTTTTGTCTGTAACAGACAAGATGTGCATTCAAGTAGGCAGAAAATGACCTACAACTCATCAGACATTTCGATATATTATAATGACATAGAGATCATTGTCTGAAATATACTATAGTCTGGAATTTAGCAAACAAAGTTATTTTATCACTAATATGTCTAAAAGGTTCAAAGTCTGTTTTTAATCTTGGGTACATATACAGTTGTACTTCAGGTACAGTCTATTGTGGCTTCTCTGAGAAATGATTTGTTTATGAGTGACCCTTAGCCGTATTGCATAATAGTAATACATTGTTCATTCTTACAAGTACATGTGGTATCAAACATTTCTGCCAGGTACTAGCCCATATACAGACCAAATATGGTCACAGCCTCACCACTTCCTCCCAATTGAATTCCCACCTCCCCTGATCCAAGATAACTTCATTGACACAAATATTACAGCAACATAACCACTGAAGATGGAAGAAATGAGTGCACGAATTAGACCAATCAATACAAGAAACACTGGTACTAATTGGTACATAAACCAATTACAACTGGACTCTCAGGATATCTTGGATAATCTTGTCAAGTTGCAAAAATTCAAATCAGAGTACTTCATAAATTTCACTATACAAGATTTCGTTATTGACAGCCATTTCCCATATGCCTTATCTTAATTTGCTCTTGTTTATGTATAGAAGCCGGTCTGTACTTTCACAAATATACATAAGGACACCACAGGGACAACTACTGTAAATTTGTTTATTTTCACAGGGACTCACTTTCGCATTAGGAAGGGAAAAGAGATTTTCCTGGTGTTTTGATTCAAAATTCTGTAACTAACAGTTAGTACAATACTACATTGTAGTGTCATTGTCCTGATTTTGCAGTAAAATGTCACAGTGAAAAATGCAAATGTAAAACCACCGTGAACATATCAGGATTTACAGTAGTCCTGCACCTATTGTTTCCTACTGTATGGGGAACTTTGTCTCCTAGACTTGGATCAAACATTTGCACACTGGCTGTGGGGAATAAGTAGATTGTATAAAGTCAATACATCAGACTTGACACAGTAGTCAGTAGAGCAGTTTGAATTCATATGTTATGTAACTTTTGTTGCTACATCATGAACATGATGTTGATTTAGCTTGAACTTGAAGCCATGTTTTCAATTTCAACAATCTTTCAAATCATGTAACGTTACTTGTCTGTTACTAGTGTTAGTACTGACATGTAGAAATGCAAAAATGGTAACAATTTAAGTTCTGTTCAGTTATAACAGGTGTCTTCACAAGGATCACAACAATTGTTCATATTTGTCTACAAATGGGGCTGCCAGAAATTGTTATATAATTTTCCAATTTCTATCTGCCTGGTAGAAACAGTTTGTTCTGCACAAGTCTAGTGTCTACTCCAAGAGAACAGTTAGACAATCCAAGGAGGTTATATAACCTCTGAAGAAATTGATGCTTATTTTGCGCTCCAAAGAGAAATGCTGCTCTTTTTAAGTTTCTGGAAAATCTGCCACTTTGAATACAAAATGACAAGAAACACAAACAAAGCACATCCACAATACCACCTAATTATGTAAATATCAGGAGACAGTAATCGTTATCACCCTGACATCTGACTAAATCCTCACAGCTGCCAGATTCACAGATAAACTCATCCACTAGGCTGGGGAAGGAGATAACAGACACTTCCTACCACTTTAAAAGCTTTAAAACCAACTTTAAAACGGGGACACCTACATAGAGCTCACCTCCAAGTAGATATTGGAAGGGGAGGAAGATCTGACGATATAGTATACATGCTCAATTCTATGGAAATTGCCCTAATGTTTGGAAGTTGCTTGGATATTTAGTTGATGGGCCCAGGGGATAAACTTGAATTAGTGCAAATTAGCTATGTTATATCTTATTTTAAATCTCATAATTCAATGATCTCCTGTGACATACACAACAAGTGACACCAAAGGACAAGTCACATAATTTGGTCCTCAAATTGTTTGGCTTGTTATTATCTATAGACCAAATCACAGATGTTTAGCAGCTGGAGTATGCATCCAAAACTATGAGTCTCATCTTTGCCAAACGCAGGACTAGTAAAAGAAGGCAGATACTAAGTAGGGTAGTATACTGTGACAAAACCTATAACGTTACCTCTGTTATTAACACTATAGCAGTGTGAGATAACCTTCATGGTAACTTTTCACCTTCAAATTTATACCTTTTCTGCTTGATATTGGCATTTTCTGACTCAAATTCCGACTGGACTGTATAAAAGCCACGATCCAAACACTTGTTCTCGGTGTAAGAAAAACAACCACATCCTTCTACACCCGTCACAAACAGGATTTCTCCTCAAGCAGAAATTTTAAACACGGACTGAGAGATAGAACAACTTACCGTGACATTCGATACTCCACGCACAGTTTTCGTACTTCTGATTTCTGATATCCAGTATTTAACAAAGACCAAATACGGTAAAATCGTGCGTTTCCTGCGTGTTGGCGGGTAAACAAGTTTTCTTCCAGCTCCCTAGCGTCAGTGTTGACGATGAATGTAACTACGTGACTCACACATAAATTATTAGCAGTTGAACCGGCGTGTCTGTGTGTTTTCTAGATTTCCTGTGTAACTCTACTCCGCGTCTGAACCGGCGTCGATCGAAACAACTATGTTCTACAAACACAGACAGTCTAAAATAAGAAAAGTGTACCTCTATAAACTATAAGTAGTCAAGGACGAAGCTTTGACGAGGATTGATCATCAAAATAATATTTTAGCAAACAATTTTCTACGCCCCTCCCAAGGACTCGTCCTACTCACCTTTCAAAACAAGTCGGCATCCTCGCACAAAACACCTTGGTTTCTGTTGTTCCCTGATTTCTGATGATGCTCCACTGGGTGCATAACAAAGCCCTTATCTTTCGAAATAGTCCTAAAATAGATCTACCGCTAGTGCACCGACAGGGGTCTGGTTATTTAGGAGTTTTCAAACAAATATCGTCAAAAACGAGGCTCCAAAAACGGAAACAACACACCGCCATCTTGGATTATTGATTTTCCCAACTGCCTTTGCGAGAGTTCCCGCCAACCACACACCGTGCTAACGACCTGACATCTGCTTGGAGAATACAATTTCTGACGTTTACAGATATCATTCTCTACTTTGTGACACGAGTAACGTTACATACATTAAAAATGTCTGGAATCAAAATGTGATTATACACATCTTTCACATAAGAATTTCGTTGAAGAATTAGTATTAAGACAACAATAAATGGTATTTACACTAATTAGCGTTAGTAACGTTTCCTGACAATGACAACTGCAATGTTCTCTGGAGAAACATTAGCGGAGTGACACGTTCAGTCTCGCATGACTGCTTATTAGTACACATGTACCTCGCAAAAACTTTCATCATTTATGAAACTGACATTTGAAGATACATTTTTATGTAAGGCAACCCAAAGGCCATGGTTAGACAAATCATGCTAGAGTTCGGTAACGTTAACGTTACATGTATTAACTAAATCTTGCTTAATGCCATGTGGATTCGTTCCTACGAGAATTGAGCTCTTTGCGTGTTTGACTAAAAGGTTTCTCGGCTACTGAGCCCTTGTTTTTGTCGCTGAAAAGGTTCAATGCCCTTTTATGCTAGTATTATGAATAGCTTTCATAGAATGCGTTTCTCCCTTCATCAATAGGCAACATATGTTGCACAGTAAGTTATTAAACCCACTTCATTTTTGTAGATTTTTATAACTGAGCTTTCGAGTGATGCTTCGCCTTTTTTCTGCACGATCGAATCGGTATCGAGCCATCGGCATCTGTAGCATACTGCACTTTGACACAAAGCCGTAAGAGGACGCGTTTTACACACGAAATGAGATCCGGCCTACGTGCTTTCATGTCGGAAAATTACGCTTCCCTTACTCGGGGAAGCGCACAATATTGCGATCATGAAAATATTAACAGATATAAGGCAATGGTACAGAATTTATTCGATAAGACTCAATTTTAGTTTCTCATCACGTTGGCTGTATCAAAACGATCGAGGTTCACTCTTTATCATTATTTCGAAGTACAGTCGACCTACAGTCAAACTGCCCAGATTCGAAAGTCCACTCCGGGGACCGTTGAGATCTGATCTACTCTATATGGACAGGTGGTCGCTAAAGACAGGGTTCTTAATGCTTGTGCCAATAAAGAAAATATATCTATTTGACGGACTACCAAAAAAAGTGGTCGCTTTGGTCAGGCGGTCCTCATGCAGAGGATGTCACTCGTACTGACCCTACTACAGTGAATGACTGATAAGAAATGAAATACGCTGTCATCATGATTCATAATGAAACCTAAACATAGCGTATTCGGTTCCACCCAAAAGAGAGCAATTCGTAAAAGCACTTAAGGAGATTTGGGAATGCAGACTGAATGTAATTTCCCTCTCTGTTCGATTTCATCGACCCTGTGTGCTAAACAAATCCCCTAGAGAAGTCATTTTTCATCTTAATTACTAGTATTACATAAGATATATTTATACTGTAATGCACAGGGGTTCCTAAAATTGATACTATGACGACAGGTATAACTTGGTTGAGACCACTTTCAATTTGTTGGGGACTAGCTAGAGTACACCAGTAGATCTTAGTATACATGTACGTGAAAATGAATATCGAACGGTGTCTTGACTTGATTGATGAGTTAATAGTGGTACAACATGTTACCTGTTTAGGTACAGCGGTTTGACTGCTGAGAACATTGATTTTCTAACGTGTCAAGCGGATCTAGGTGTGATCTGCTTCGTGTCAACATGTAACTAACACAGCGGTGCCACAGAACCAAGAATTTCTAAGTCGATTTTTGTGGTTAAAACTTAGACTGAGCCTAAAACTTAGACTAAGCCTTCTAAACAATACAATGCAATCTGATACAAAACGCACCACAGAAACATTTATATCAATATCGACGTTCACTGACTATGCTCTCCGTGCAATGCATTATTTTATTGTAATCCAAATAAATCTATACAAATCGCGGATATCCGGACCACAAAGTATCAATACGGATTCCATGGTTACCTACGATGTGGCTGAAAATTTAGGCTGAAACAGCGTATGATACACAAATGAATGTTATGTTATGTTGAGTCTGATCTGTGTGAAGTGACACTAGGAGTCGATCATTCGTACCTTTCTTTCCTTGGAGAGGAAAGAGACAGACTGTCCGGATTCTGCTATTGAAAGGCCCTATAACGGCTATCTACTAGTTTCGATGTTAGCAGTGGTGATAATACTTCACTTAAAGTTATTACCACGCATCAGATTACACTATAGTCTGTCCATAACCTTTGCTGTCGCGAAGAGAAAGATTAGAGTGGTGCATACGATAAGAACAACAAGATGAAAGAAAGCCCATCATCTACGCATCTTCTGTGATGAAATAGATGATTGATAGTGTCACATGGGACACAATTCATCACATACACCTTGCTGCCAGGCTCTAGGTGAGTCTCCGCGATGAGCTGAAATATCGTGCTGCTTCATCTTCGCGATAACCTTTAGTTTGACTCGTTTCTCGTCATCCCTGCCCTTTAGTGTGATCTAGTTCTGCTGATGAATCCGCGCGCGCTGACCAAACCTCCCGCCCTTTGCTTCATGCTCCATACTGATAAAATGTCACGGTACCTTCAGAACCTACAAAATGCATAAGATAGCATAATCCTATAAATTATTCAACTTATAAGCTTACTTCGTTGTAAGAATAGACAGAACAGTGACTTTGAAAATAAATTCGAATTCAGATCTGCTGCCCTGAAATTCCATTGGATGCCTTTTTATTCTTCTGCACAACGGAAATTTCAGTACCAAGGACAGGTTTTCTTTGATGTCCTTTGCAATCCGCGTTTCAAAGCCCCGTGTAGTCCGTCCTTCGTCCTCGAAGACACCCACGACCCTAGGCTGTCGAATGCAATGAAAAACAATTTATTGTTTGAGCCAGCAATTCCTTAGCATGCAAGTCGTTCAATCGAACTCGTCCTCCTACGTCAATCTTCGGGATGGCAATGCCTCCTCCGCAATGATGATGCCCGCCGGGAGAAAATACCCAACATTTTGACCTTTCTATATATCATGCCCTGTCCTCTTCCATCGAGTTTAGAAGTCATTACCAGCCACAGTAGTGGTCTATTAGAAGCCGGAATAATTCAAGGCCCCCGAACTGATCCGTCAATGCCCGTCTGGCGCCGAGAACTCCTCCGTCCCTGACACTTGAGGACGCGCTGCACTCCATCTAATCAGGTCGATAAACTACAGCTATTTAGCGAAGCGCTTCGGATGTGTTGGCGCCGGGAAAGTTGACAATCATTTTACATTGACCAGATGTAATACAAAGATTTGTATCAGTGAAAATAGCGATAGCGCTGTTCTTTCCTCTCCCTTTCATCGTTTCTTTCCTTACTCATCTATTCTTTCTTATGCTTCTTTCTTTATGGGTTTTTCCATTCCTTACGATCTTGAGTCTCAGCCAAATGCAACTACTAGTGCAAATTTCTTTTATGATCCCCAGTCTAATACGTACCCTAAATCCCCAGAAAGATACTACACCTTTCCTTAAATCGTCTCAAGTGGAGTATGAAAGATTCCCGCGCACACTCCAGTGGTAATAGTTCGATATCCCAGATTGTAATCCCTCCTCCCTGCCCAAGGCCGGCCCGCAGGAGACGAGAAGGTTAACGAAGATCAATACAGGCTGTAGCCGGGAGCGATGGGTGAGTGCGAATCACAGAGGGTGACAGTGATAAGGTATCCTAACTCCTACAGGCTGTATCGTCTTCCTACGGGGCGGTCGTACAAGTTCTTGCAGTTTTAAAACAATATTCTGTTGTTTCCGAAAATAGTTTCATCAGGTTGGTAAAGTATATAGGTTACAGGAGTTTCATTTTATGCAACCAAGATAGACTAGCCTTGCTTACGTTTAGCGCCACCTACATCGGCTACATATAGCGGCTAGAAGCAGAACTCCAGTCAGAAGCTCTGAGGAAGGTGTCTGATCTTGGTTGTGTAAACTGAGAAAACTCCTGTATAATATTCTGTTTCTTGGTATTCTTTCCCTCCCCAATACAGCAAAACTAAGGATCTTGAACATAACTGATTGATCACAAAAACAGGAGAACAACTAGACTACTACATATCAGCTTCGATGATGAATCTGTTTAACAGCCTTCATACTATTAATGTGTCGTTCTAAAGTGTCATTCTGGCTCACGGAAGCTCTCTATAGAGAATGTAGTGGTGCTGAATCATCTGAATCGCTGACTGAAAGTTAGTTTCAGGTCTTTTTTCCAAGCGTACGTTCGACTGCCAAAGGGAAATGTGATTTACTCCCCCCATCTGGGAGTGAGAGCAATGGCTGAAAGGTTCAAGTCGTCAGTCATGAAATGTTTATCTCTTCCACGGACGGATGGCCGAGTAATTTACAGGGTTATGGGCCACGCCAATCTACACCATTAACTCCAGCGATAACCTTTGCTACGGTCCGACAATTTTAATATCTTAAACCGGCCGTAATCTCCACAATCACACTCATCCTGCTGTTGACTCGCGGCCAATATGGACAACCCTTGTGACTGTACTGCCTCCTCTGGGTCATTTTCCTCGTACTTCACGCCAAAATAAAACCTCGTGACAGAAATCGTGAACGTATGTTTATCACGGCACAGTCCTCTAGTCGGATGATAACATGGCGTTGTGTCTTTTATTGAAGATGATATGAGATTACTATCTTAAGGCATGGCTTAAAGCTGTCCAGTGGGAGTCATCTGTCAATGTGAACAGTTGGGAAACACCGCACTATTGACCAGCAAAGTTGATGTCATGTCAAACAGCCTGGTAATGACTTTTGTTAGAGATTTGTGTACTTCAATGCGAAAACAACATTGTTCTTATAAAGACTGGTTTGGAGTATATCCTTGTAATATACTTGTCATTCCAGTCATTCTCATGGTT